AGAGAGAGAGAGAGAGAGAGAAACAAAATATAAAAAATGACTCTTTGGATCGTTGTTCTATCGCAAACGTGTAATTATGTTTGAATTGAAATGAAGGTTTCCCTTGCTATCCCTTTATCTACCATTATTTTTGCTAGATTTTTTTCTCCCTCTTTCTCTCTCTCTCTCTCTCTTTTTTTTTCTGTGTCTGTTTGTCCGTCTATTTCTCTCTCTTTCTCTTTCTCTCTCTCTCTCTCTCTCTCTCTTTCTCTTTTTGCCCTTTTTGAAGGTCTTCCTTTTCTCTCTACCATCTCGTCCACAGATGAGCAAGCTTTTCGTTCTCGCGCAACGACTATCACTTAATCCGACTAATTGTTTACGTTACGCGGAAGTTCCTAGGCGAATTATAAAGCAACCCTTTCGTTCCCGTTTCTTTTTTTCCTTTTTCTTTTTTTCTTCTCTCTTTCTCTCTCTCTCTCTCTCTCTCTCTCTCTTTCTATATATATATATATATATATATATAGATCTCCATATACCTCTTGAATTTCTTTCTCTTAAATTTCGTAAGTGACACCAGCTAATCATATCTCTTTTTTTTTCGGAGAAATAACGGCTTCGTTTCGTTAATGAAGTTAGTTCAGTGGACAAATCTAACATCCAGTTTTTTTTATAGAAAGAACTCTGGATATAAGGAATTGTGTTAGTAGCAATGATATCGTAATGAACAGACGACTATGATGGTACTGGTGAATGATAGTGCTGGTGGTGATGGTGGTGGTGGTGATGAGGGGCTATGAGGAGAGCTGGTAGTGAGGGGTGGTACTAGTTTGCGGTTTTGACGCACCGACGAACTTACTCGGCCAACTTATTCCTCGTTTGTTTTAAGACTCAGCGCGCGATGGCGGATGGATGAGGAGAAAGATTGGCTTGAGTTGAGTTGAGTTGAAAGTTAAGTTGCCTTGGCTTTGGATGGCGGCGGCGGCGGGGAGGGGGAGGGAGGATATACAGGGGAAGGTAGGTGCGCGATTACGGAATTGGAGGAAGAAAGTAAAAGAGAAATTGACGTAGGGTTCGAGAACTCTTTCGTCGGCTTTAACGTCTGAATTTTCTCGAATAAGAGGAAAAAGAAAAAAAGTAGAAGCGGAAGAAGTAGTAAAAGGGGATGAAGATGAAGAAAAAGAGTAATAAAGAGAACGACGCGATTACATTTTACGTACCTGTTTGCAGATTGAGATTGAGATCTGCATTTGGACTGACCGGAGTTTCGCCATCTTCCATCATCAAAGTTGTCTCCTCCGTTACGTTTTCGTATGGATTGGCTTTGAATGGAATTAAGATTTGTGACTTGTGCTTTTAAGTTATGTCGAATTGTTGAATTATGTCGTTTGATATTATCCATTGGATATCGATTGTAATTATATGTTATATTTATTAAAATGTAATGATCGTAACGTTTTAATTGGTATGTAAAATCACGCGAGATATTTGATATCTCGATATTGTATTTATTTGATTATTTAATATTATTTTAATTTCAAATATGAAAGATGATATTTAATAATTTAAGATTGGAAAAGTTGTGAAATTTTTGTGGAGTATCAAAGATATAAAGAACATTGAACGTTCCAAAAAAAAAAAAAAATACATGAATTCCTCTTTGGAAATTTCATGAATTTTTCGAGTAACTTACATTTGTCGAACATAATCTCGCCAATCATGATCCAACGTGCTGCGAAATATAGATGAAATTTAAGAAATTTTCCTTGCCGGCCGCGAAGTCCAATGGTAACGTTTCGTGCATTTTCCAATACGATATCTGGTATGTAAGAATAAGCGATTGGTTCGTCCTCGTAATATTCGCCATCTTGACTGAACCAAATATTAGCCCTCGAAAAAACCTGCAACTCGATATACTTAGAATAAGAATGAGTTCATTTTAAATGGATTAGAATTAAATGTATGTACGTATATATGTTATTTAATAATATAAAAGGATAAAATTATTTTACCTGAACGTCACGGGAAAAATAATTGTTCGTGTAAATGTTAACAGTTTCGAATATCCAATAATTCTCAAATTCTAAGACAATTTCTACGAAATCGGTAGCGAACGTATCGCGCATCCAAGCGATCCAACCGGTTCCTATAACAAAAGGAAAAAAAAAAAGAAGTGTTTTATCGATATTATTAACGATAAATCAATCTTGAGATATCAATATTTAATCGATCATTTAGTATTTATTAAATAGCAAGATTTCGTTGTTCTATATAAGTACAGTGTTCTATCGTAACAATCGATAAATGAAAGAAGTACTCGAGTATGGATTTGGGTACAGGGGTCTCATTTAAAAAACGTGTTGTCAGTTAAGAGTGCAAAATGTCAAGTATCGTTATGGATTGAAAATGATGACGTGTACAGATCGTGTCAATTCGAAATTCCGACTCTGATCGATAGAGACAATTTATCAACAATTAAAAGAAGTCGATTGAAGTCAAGTGGAGTATCGAAATAGCGAATAAATAACACAGTGGTTAACCGATAGATAGAGATAGACAGAAAGTGAAGAGAGTTAACTATAGATCGTTGTACGTTGAAAATAGCATTGATCAATTTGGAGAAATTTAATTGGGGAAAAGAAATATATTAATTGTACGATCTGGATAATGTGAGATTTTTCGAGAATCTTTCGATTTCAATGGTCAACACCCTGGGCGTATATCCACCCACCGATTACCTCTTCCATCTCCCATGTCCAGCCTGTAATTATCTGCGCCGACCTCGCCATCTATCAGTCGGCCTAAACCATCGGTCAACGAGTTGTACTGCCTTTTACCGTCGTACGAAGTGTCACTGAATTCTACCATCGGTGATTCTGGTATAGTATAACTCGCAATGCCATCTGGAAAATCAAAATGTCAATTAAGATTTGAAATTAGATATTATATAGAATATATCGGAATATAATGATGTACGATTCGTTTTATATTTCTGATAAGTAAGATTCTAATGAAATTGGTTATATATAATAAAAAAAAAATATCTTGTCTGGATTGTTACTCGATTTGCCGGTTCGCGCTAGAAGCCACTTAATTGCTTCTAATATTTCACGGTTATACACGCAAAATGTCGACCGTTTTACTACCTTCCAAATCCCCGCCTGTCTTTCTTCTCACTCACTCTTTCTCTCATTCTATCACTCTCTCTTCTCTCTCTCTCTCTCTCTCTCTCTCTCTCTCTCTCTCTCTCTCTCTTGCTTTCTCTTTCTTTTTCTCGCGAGTTATGTTGTCACGCGATGCGCTGGTCAAGCATGTTACGGTCAAATTATAAGTGAGCACGTATAATAATTTTTTAACATTTCCATGAGCACGGCGATGTGAAGTCACAAAGCACGCACCGTTCATTTTGATTTAATAATCAGCAATTAGCCTCGACGAATCTTGTACATGACGTTTTTTTTTTCCTTTCTCCTTTTCCCTTCCCTTTCTATTTTTCCTCTTTCATCCCACAGTCATTCAATATCTTTTTATCTCTTATTTTTATCCCGTACAATCGCGAAAATCAATTTGAAATTAGACGTCGAAATGTGGACTCGATGAACGATTTGAAAATAATAATAACAATTTTTATTATTGGTTTTCGAACATGTGTTCACTTTGACGTTCGATAAATATTATTTTTAAGTAGCGCAAAATGTCGATCATATTTCGTAAAAAAGTGATAATCCTTTTCATTTCTTTTTTCTTTTTTTTTCTTTTCTCCCCCTTCAAACGGTAATCTTGATCGACCTATAAAAGGAACGTAATTAAATTGTTTTTCTATAAACGAGCGATATATTGAGAATTTTCTATGGTTGAGAATGATTCGTTGTTACCCGGTATAGCAACGAGAAAATGCATTATCCAAAAGCGAACCACGAATCATCGAGCACGATAATAACGGTGCTCTTACCGGTAATTCTACTCTATCACGTTAATCCGTTTATAGGGTAATTCAATTAAAATGGCAATCTTCCATTCGTCCGTCATCTAAATTATTGCTGGGCTTCGAAGTCGAGATCTTCAGCTTGACGATCTCTAAACGGTAGGTACATATCTATTATTGACATTTAATTTAAAAACAGACTAATAATCGGATAAATTTGTATAAATATCGTTCCACCGACATGACCCTTTTCACTTTTTTTTCTTTTTTTTTTTTTTTTTTTTTTTTCATTTGGATATTAAGTGAAGTATTTCATTGAAACAAAAAAAAGAAAAAAAGAATTTATTTTAAAAACGACCGTCATATTGTAAAAGCGAAATGCATTATTTCATTCAAATTAATCATTACGTATTCAAGTAATCAAATAAATTATTTATCAAGTTGATAGCCCAATTCGTCGTGAAATTCATTCTCATTTGGTTCGTTTCGTATTTCCTTTTTTTTTTTTTTTCCTTTTTTCCTTTTTAATATTACTATATTTTATAAAGCATTTCAAAGCGGAAATGTCAGGGTTGTATGTCGCGTAAATGTTAGTAGACGTTGAAGAAAATTCGCACCGTTACTGAAATGTTCATAGGCGTCACGTGACCGTGCGTGGTATCACAAGTTTTTCCATTTAGATTCGTGCTTCATTCATCGCCGATTGCAATCGATGTCGCGTCAGAGTCTAAAAGTGCAACGACCTCGTGCATCGGTAGTGTGAATAGCTTCCATTCAGTGCTTGGTCTTTTCTATCGTTAAATATATATATATATATATGTGTGTGTGCGTGCGTGCGTGTGTGTGCGTGTACGTACGTATGTATCTCGATTAGATAGCGAATAAGGGATAGCTATATTAGATTTATCAAGAGAAAGGCATTAAGTGACGAGTGAAATAAAAAAAAGAAGAAGAAGAAGAAAAAGAAAAATAATTCTAAATGACAAAATCCTATGGTAGAGGATAAATAAAGATAAAGAAACAAAATGGTAAATATTTGAAAGAAAGAGAAAAAGAAAAAAGAAAACAAAAGAAGAAAAAACAAAACGAAATTAATGATTAGTAAAATCGAATCGATCGTTTTATGGTTAAACTAGTTAAGAAACACATTATTCGAACGTTAGTACAATAATTGCAATGGTGGCTTGAAAATGGAAGTGAGGAAGGTCGAGAAAAGCGGGGACGATCGAAAATGTCAATGGCGGAAAACAATGGCTTTGGATTTTAGCGGTGGGTGACCGTGGCCAGTAAAGGTGGTCCGGTCCGTTGCTGTCTGTTGTTGGAACTGCCACCGTTGGTATTGGTGTTCGTGCTAATGCTGGTGTTAGTGCTGGTGCTGGTGATGGTATTGTTACTACTACTACTCTGTTGTTAGTTGTTGTTACTGCTGCTGCTGCTGCTGCTGCTGCTGCTGCTGCTACTGTTGCTGGTCGTTGTGCGAGATTCCAGATTCGGCTAGTCGGAAGTAATCGCTGGTGTTCAACGTTCGGGTACGGCATCAACGTTGTTTTAACCAGATGCCGTGCACGACCTCCATAAATCTGCCATTCCGTAGACCAAGCTCGATCTAGCACGCTTTTCTCATTCTCTCTCTCTCTCTCTTTTTCTCTCTTTCGCTGTCACTTATTTTCTCTCTCTCTCTCTCTCTCTCTCTCTCACTATCTCTCTTTCTCCTTCTTTTTCACTTTGACTCTCAAGTGTTTCTTACGTCCGCCTTAAATTTCCCTACGTCAAGTCCTTTCTTTCCTTCTTTGAGACAAACCCCCGTCATCCCCCTATCATTCCCTACTCTCCTCCTCCGACACTTTTCGTAATTTTCCTTTCCTCTCTTGCCTTCTCATTATTAAACGGTTTAAGAAAATCATTTATGCAAATTCAGTACACCAACAAGGTGTAGCTCCCCCTGTACATTTTCCCTCTTCCAAAAATATATATTATTTTCTCTTGAATTATTATACCTCTACCTACCTATTGGCATCTTTCTTTTTTTTTTCTCTCTCTCTCTCTCTCTTTTCTTTCTCTCTCTTCGTTGTACTTTTTATTCTTTCCTTTTGTTTTTCGTCTCGATACAAAGGAAAAGAGGGACGGAGAGAGAGAGAGAAAGAGAGAGAGAGAGAGAGAGAGAGAAAGAGAAAGTTGTTATAAAACAGTACTCATGAATATTGTCCTTTTATTTATTTTTTCTTTTAGTTCGTTCATTCTGACCCTAGGCATTTAAGGTTGTTTTTTTTCTTCCGATTAGAGATAGAGATAGAAAGAGAGAGAGAGAGAGAGAGCAAATCCAACCCCTTGGCTCGATTTTCCTTTAAATTTTAGAAACGAAAGGGGATGAGAAGTTCTCATTCTCCTTCTGCGGATTAGTATAATTTGTAGAAAACCTTGTTCCTTGTTCAAGACTTTTTCTTTTAATGTGACTAAACCGAGCAGGTAAAAGCTACATGCAAATGTATGTAAATATCATTACGCTGATGTACTGCCACGTTTGTTATACTTGGATCACGCACCCATACATAAATTAACTAGAGTAAGGTGCTGCGACCTTTCGTTAACTCAGAAATGTGAAAGAGAAAGAGTAAGAAAGATAGAGGAGTTTGTGTGTTCTGCGTGTCAGAGAGATATGAGAGAGAGAGAGAGAGAGAGAGAGAGAGAGAGAGAGAGAGAGAGAGAGAGAGAGAGAGAGATAACGAGAGAAAAGAAATATTCAGAAATAGATCGCGGAAGTGAACGAACCCTAACCGAGGAACTTAAAATAGGGAGAAAATAAACAGGGAGAAGGGTAAGAAAGCTTGTAAAAAAAACTCAAACGATAATTTCTATTAAAAGAGAATTTTTAGTAATTGTCGCAATCAAATTGTACGAAATAAAAACTAGATTTAGTTTCATCCATTAATATTTTTCACAAATTTTATCAGTATATATGGAGTAAATATTTGAAAACAATTCATTAATGCTTTTAATCTCTAGTTACGTAAATGTATCGATTTTAGTGCACCGATAACGATTTCAATCCCAAGGTTTATATCAAGTTTTATTAGGAAAATTGAAGGGAAAAGATTCTAAGTAAAAATGATAGAATAAACGGAGAGGAGAGAAGAGGAAGTGAAGCAAAAAAGAAAAAGAAAGAGAAAAAGAAAAGAAAAGAAAAGAAAAGAAAAGAAAAGAAAAGAAAAGAAAAGAAAAGAAACGAAATGAGAAAAAGAGAAAAGAAATAAAGATAGATTATATGGATAGTTGTTGATTTTTTCCTCGATCTTTTAGTATTTATTAGACGTAAGAAAAAGGTAAGAAAATATTGGTTCGAAAGAATACGCGTGCTTGGGCGCTCACGTGTCTTGATGGTGTTGTATTGCATACGATAGAAAGAAAACAAAATGGTAGACCGTAAACGTAGGGTAAAGCATCATAAGAGGCTAGTAGTAGTAGTAGTAGTAGTAGTAGTAGTTGTAGCAGTAGTTGTAGCTTACGATACGATACGCTCGGGGTGCCGCTCGTAATATCGAAGAAATTATTATAATGTTCGGGGGCGGTGTTATGTATTCGTTATATCGCGGCCGGTGAGA